CGGTTCATTTTCTTCACTAGGGAAGAAAAATGCTTCTTGGCATAGGGTCTTCCAGTGAGCCACATTGGAAACATTTCTGGAAAATAGAACTGTGTGTTTCTATTGGAAAAAGGTGGCACTTCTTTTCTTATTTCACCTTCGCAAAAAAGCAAAATCTACCTTTTTTGTGTGTCTAGCTAGAATCCTCAGTTCTGTAAAAAAAGCTACTGATAAAGAACATCACAGGTGCAAATGGTGACAATTGCTGAAGCAGCAAAGACAAAATAAGACAATGAGTTCACTAATACCTTTAATTGCAAAAAAGATAGTACTGGATTAAGCAATTTTTGAATTCCCCTTCCCATCTCCAGGGTCTTATCTACTCTGAACTAGCGAAAACAGAAAAGTAATTTATTTAGAGAATACTTTAAAAAGATAGATCTATCATAATATCAAACAGTTGTTTTCCTACATCACCAGCAATGAAATGTGAAATAAAACACACAAACAAAAAAACCCTGAAAACATTACTAATAAGGGCCACTCTGTGATCAAAGATTAAAGCTGTGATCATGAATATGCCCTTAAAAACAGCTATTTTTTTTCCACCTAATGACACATAAAATTGTGTGATAGCACATGAATAGAATACTCTTAAAATGCAAGCATTTTTTTTCCTTGTAGTGAAAAACGCAGACAGGAAGTGAGAAGCTTTGCAACATATGGTTGATAAAATATTTATACAGTGCATATTTAAACAAGAAATATTAAGTGTCTTTACAGATAGTATAAATGCTACTTAAGTGTTCTGATCAAATGTAGATAAGCAACACTTCGATTTTGTACTATGTGTTGGTGAACCAGATCACGTAGCAATTCTAGAAAACATTTTAGAATACACTGAAATAACCTCTTCGCCTAGAAAAATAAGTAATGGGTCAAATTCCCTGAACTAAGGAAAAAAGCTAGCTTTATCAACATTTGTTGCTGACATCTACTTGCACCTGTTAAAGTAGCTAAGGATGCCAACTGTGAAAGGTTCTTCTCCATACACCTACATGGTAACTCCCACCAAGAATTTGGGCTCCTTTTCAGGTGCAAACATGGCACTAAAGTCTGCTGAATTTGTTAAAAAAAAAAAAAAAAAAAACTTCATTCACAGAGCGCAGCTTTTGCTGCCTGAGGTATTGGAGAATGATAATTATAGAGATTACATTAGCCTTCATTTGTGACAAAGAATCATAAAAAACAAACCAAACAAAAAAACAAACAACAGAACCACCAATGAATCTTGCTGCCAACCACATCTTCAGAACTAAGGTAATTTCATAAACATCACACCATTACTACTTCAATATGCAGGTCACGTAAGTAGACATAAGTAATAAAGCTTTTTATTAGGGATACTACTTCAGTTTGTTTCTTTCTGCTATTGTGAAAGAAATTGACTACTTCATTAAAATTAATACTTTTTAAAATAAAAAAAAATATAATGAAGAAAGTAACAGCATTTCCAGGAAAAAAGTTTCACAAATCGCTTGAGATATCAGATATTCAAAATCATTTCTACAACAGTTTTCCAAATTTCTGTCATAAAGAAAAAGAGAAAGAGAGGATCTTTATATCCAGATCAATTCCTAAAGTCAAAAGTTTTCATTCTGACTTTTGAAATAGGAGGAATTTGGAAAGGGAATGGAAGCATCTTTACTTGATATTTCCTGAATAAACTAATTAACTACAAGTAGGAAATCAGAAATCAGTACACCTTCCACTGGCACAGGGCTTTTTGTCTACTACATTACAGAATGTGAAAGTAGGTTTTCTGTAACATAAAATGACATCTGGATTCTAAAAATGCACAGAATAAATTTACACGTCAAGAGTGTGTGTGTGTGTGTGTGTATATATTTATAAAAGCATTCAGACTATAACCACTGGAGATAACTAGATGGAAATTGTTATCTTCTTTAATGCTGTATAAGAGGTTGCGAAGTAGATATGATTGTGAACAATAACCTCTCATAAATAGGACCTTGGCTAGCAGGCGTCATATTATTGCTCCTTACATGCAGCAGTCCTACAGAAAAAATGTTCTGCCATTCTTCCACGTCTCTGGAGATTAAAGGAATTTCCATACCTCTACAATACACTGCCTAAACATCACGCTATCCTTATGAACGCTTGGGGTTGTTATAAGAAAATAAATAAGGGAAGCATTTCTCTCCCCCCTTTCTTTTCAATGCTTCAGGTTCTGTCAGTAAGCAAAATTAAACACGGCAGTACAACTAATGCAGTGAGCATGACCTGAGCTCGCTGCAGCCAGGCAGAGGAATAACTGCTTCCTGTGGCATGCACAAAGCAAACAAGTGCCAAAAATACTGACTCTCACATCAGCTGCTGCAGCTTTTTGAACCAAGAGTTGAGAGAAACCCGTTCATTCATATGGGTGGGCTGAGAATGAAACATGATCACCTTCTGTTAGTGCTGCTTTCGGAATGGTAGTCCATGGTGCATCATTGAAGAGAAAAAAAAAAAAAAAAAAAAAACACCAAATCTAAAAAAAAAAAATCACCCCCCCCCCCCCCCCCCATTTCTCTAAGAGTCTGCTTCAAAGTTTTGAGAACTCAAGTTTTTGTAATATTTAGAACAAAATGCCACAAGATACTAGTAAGTTTGTAAAATCCTGTTCATCTGTAACAAAAACATTTGTCTATCAGTGTAAGAGTTAGAGGTATTTCTTCTTTCTCCTGAAACAGCCATGCTGAGAGACCGAGTAATCATTCTCTGTTTAGTAACAGTAGTCTGCCTATCCATACCTTACCTGACACTTTTTTGTTTACTTTTTATATCTATGCTAAACCACAGATGTCTTCTCTTCTGAGTTCTACTTCTCCACCCGACCTACTTTTTAAATACGAGGCTTTAGGAAAACTATGACACTTCCATTTGCCTGCTGGATGTCTGGACTTCTGCTAAAGTGATCTGTTTATCCCTATTCTTGAATACGTGCCTATTTCAGAGGAATAATATGTTAGCATTGTAGACAGTTCACTGCCAGAATGAAAAGTCTACCCTTAGATATTTCATGAAAAAGCCTCACGTAAGTGTATTTGTTGAATGTTTCTTAAAAGAGCTGGCATTTTCAGAAGATGAATTTTGAATTATAAGTTGAGCAGATTTGCTAGGAGTTCTAGTGTGTATAACAACAAAACAAGCAATTCTGTCACCTGTTATCAATGTTTTCCTTTGACCTTTGAAATACAGCAGAAAATCTAATAAAATGCAGAACATTACTGAATGTGTTTGAATCAGAAACACCATACATACAGCCTGTCAATTGATTTGGCTTCTAGTCCTAGCTTGAACTTCAATTTTCACTGCCATTTGTCACTTGCACTTTGGGTACAAAAATGATAGATATTAAAATCCCGTTTTCAATTTCAGCAAGAATGAATATTCAGATGGAAAAGGAAGAGCTACCTTGAGATATCTATTACTGTGTGTTTAGTCCTAGTTATATGCAACTTAAATTATGTGGCATTGTTTTGCATTTATAATAGAATGAGTTTATGCTAGATTAAACACTGTCCTGAACGTGGCTCAGACAGTCAATTTTATAAATCCTGGCAAATACCTATGTGACTTTTTAAACTTTTTTTTTTTTAACTTGAGATTACAATAAGATATTGTGTAAAGTTGAAACAGTCATTTTACTAGATCTCATCTAGTTTCACTCTAGAAAGTGAACGCATTTAAATAGTATCTTCATACTTACCCCTGTTAACAGGCTTAGAAGAAACAACTGGTTTACAAAAGCACAGGTGTTTTGCTTATTTACTCTTACCTGTCCTTGCTTTCTGTCTAGTTTATAGACCAGCTACTGAAGGAACAGATGAGAATCTTGCAACTCACTGCAGCTGCTTACAGAAAAACCTCCTCAGCAACCCTACTTCTGACATATAACTTGTAGATGAAGGGGCTAATATGTGTATTAGAACTTTAAAGAAAATACAAAACTTTAAATTAATACTAAAAACGAGCTTAAGTAATAAGTAAAACAGAAACATTGCACTCCAGTGCAAGTTCCTGCAAACACTGCCACAGGTGTTTAGCTCTGCATGTGAAATAGACTCATTAAAGTTAATGGAACAATTCATAGTATGTCAGGGTGTGCAGATCTAAATCAAGATGATTGGAATCACCAAATCCAATCCAAAGGTAAATCAGCAAACAGAGAAGGTTAACTTAAATCTTTCAGTTTAATTTTTTTTTCATATGTACATTTTTCCTAAAAGTCGAATCCCTCTAGCTGGTATAATTTTTCACCTTTTCTTGCAATCACATTATATTTAAAAGAATATATATCCATAAAACAATAACCAATTTAACAGTGCCACTTAATACACATTTATTCAAACTGTTAGTGTTTACATTTTCTTAAATAAGAAAATATTGAACTAAATATTTTTTACTTACTGGTTACCTAATGGTTAAATAGTATTCTATACATCTGAACAGAAAACTGTATCTCCTTTTTAGATAACTTTAAAACAAACAAACAAACAAACAAAAAAACCACACACCACAACACCAAAACCTAAACTATTATAGTTTGAGAGTAACTGTTATAGTTGGTGCTACAGCTGGAAAGGTTATCATGGTGAAAACAGGAAAAGAAATAAACAAAGAAGGAATGCTCACCCGTATCTAGAGATCTGGGTTTAGAGAAAAGACTCCATAAAAGAAGGATCTCCAGAAAGACATCTTTTCTCAGTGGCAGTCAGCCCTTAAATGGGGTCTAGGAGAAGTGCAGCCAGGCTCCACCCTTCAGATCACACAGCTGAATTGCCTTCACCTGTGCTCCCATGGCTGACCCAGTCCTTGCCTCAGGTGATCAATCAGTGGTTCAGGCCACGACTCAGCAGTTCCCTTACAGTAATCTAACTTCATCCATGTAAAATGTAAGCCCTTTAGTCAGTCAGGATCTGTTTATAGTCACTGGAGATTGGAGGAAACATCAGTGAGTGATTCTTCCTTCACATGATGAGATGATTTCTATCTGTTGTTACAACAGCACTATTTGTTTTTACAACTGACTAGGAAGGCAAACTTTACGCTTACAATTCATCACCTAATGCTACGTGGACTGGTTCTCACTTATATAATTTAATCTAAATATTTAACTTCACTAGAGACATTATAAAAATATGACATCTACCAAAACAGAATCACAGAAAGGTTGGAAAAGACCTACAAGATCATCTGGTCCAACCATCCACCTATCACCAGTAGTTCTCACTAAACCAGATCCCTCAACACAACGTCCAGATGTTCCTTGAACACCTCCAGAATCGGTGACTTCACCACCTTCCTGGCAGCCCATTCCAGTGCCTGACCACTCTTTCAGGGAAGTAGTAAAACTTCTCTATTAGTATAACATCTCCAGTAGTAAACTTCTACTATTAAGTAAGTCTGGTAATTTTAAATGCAAAAGCAGTATTATCTATATATTTTTAAAATTCAAATTCATTTTTGTCTGTGCATTTTTTGAATATTAGAACTAGTAAACAGTATTTTCCCTCATGCCGCATTTAGACTAGAAATGAAAAATAAGATCAAGCCTTTTCTAATTTCGAACTGTTTCTTAACTTTTATAGAACAAATCACTAAACAGAAACCACTGAATAAACCTAAATGAAACTCTTCCATGCAGATTATGGTATTTCTGTAGCAAACATGTTTCAGACTCTTCATTGCTCTTGTTATTTCTTTTTTGCGCTTGGAATTGGCTTTAGGCAAAACAAATGTACAGACAGTATTCATTGCATAGAAACGTATCAACTCATTACAATTTTATGGGGTTTTTTATTATGCAAATACAAGTCAGAGTTCAAAAAAAATTTTACAAACTTCACTAAACAGTTTTATCTAGAGAACACACATTTATTTAACTTTTAATGTGTTTGGGTACAAAAATATTAGAGACAAAACAACAATGAAAAATGAGTAAATTTCTTCTAGAACATCTGAAAGAAAAGGAATTAATGAATATCTTTTACTTCTATTTCAAAATTTAAAACAAACAATTAAAGCCATGTTTGTTTGTAATTGCCTATTACATTTCCTATGCCTGATGAAAACACTGGATAAAACAAAACGAAAAAAAAAAAAAGAGAGAGAGAGAATGAGAATTCTGCCTGCTGGTGCTTCTATTAAGTAGAAAATCACAACTACTCTGCCCCTGAGGTGTTCTGCTAACAATGTGTTGCTGTAGACAATAAAGTGGTGTTTAGAAGCTTTTTCTCTTCATAGCATATTTACAGTCAAAATGAAAAACAGACTTATTAAAAGCTTTCCTCTTCCCTCGAGATATCTCTTTCTATAACTGAGTCATGCAAGCACAGACATTTAAAAGTTCACAATCTTAGAGGACAACCTTCTAGTCAGTCCAACTAATAAAATGAATCCTTATGGCTGTATTAATAAAATGAATCTTTATGGCCTTATAGCTGAAACATGTGAGAATCATAAAGACGCTCAACTCATAGATAGAATTAAAAAAAACCCAAACATTAATATATCCCTTTTTATGAAGAAAAGAGAATAAGCATCCTGATTGAGCAAGAGTGTTGTTTAGAATAAAGAAAAGTTGATGCACAATACTGAAATTGAGACTGTTTCCGTTGAGCTACTGCAGGAAGTTATTTACTGTCAGTTTCATCTAGCTGACATTGGAAGAAGGATTCCTGTCATAGAATTAATGTGTCACAACACTAGTTATAAACTAATTTTCAGTCTCTGAGGTAGTCCTATATGATATATTATCCTCTTGTAGATACTATGAGAACACTAGAAAATGAAAATATAACAATGAACAAAACAACCTTGGGTTATTCTTAATGCCTTTCTCCTTACCTTTTCCTATTCTACTCTGCCCTTTTTGGGAAAGGGAGTCCAGAGTTGCACACAGTATTCAATGTAGAAGAGTAGAATTTTCAAAATTGCATTTTCTTATTAGGAAAACCTACGTATCTATTTATTTTTGGATGATTCCTGTTCATTTATCTGGAGCATTCATAAAACTATCAATCCCAATCTTACTCTTCAGCTGTGCTGGTCAGCAAGTCAAGGTCCATGTTTCTATTTGTGAAGTTAGTACCATTGCGTTTTTGTCCTATAAGCACAACTGTTCCTTTATTTGAGATGTACTTTTTCTATGTGCTATTGCTTCCAAGGGCCTGTTACACAAACAGGCATACTTGCTTCCCTCTGCTCCTCAGTCCAAAGGAATTGGCAAGAGGTTAAGTACTTTAGTACTCACTTATGAGTGATATAAGAAGTCTTTACTGAAAACTCCCTCGTTCTTGAGGTCTGCTATTTTTTGTCAATTTGTTTCATGACATCTTCTAAAGTCTTCTTATTTTCAACATTCTCCACCATGTCCTCCACAAAGAAATCCACAAGATTTCTGCAGTCTTCTCCAATCACAAGATTTTCTTAGTGGAAGTCTTTGTTGTTTCCATCTTCGTGGTAAACATCAACACAAAGATTTCATTTATCTCTTCTATTTCTTTTTGGACTATAATTCTACACATGCTATACAGCATGTATAAGTTAGTTACATAGACTTCTGATAAAATTTGTCCATGCAGCAGAAGGAACTGTCCACACTGTTTATCGCAGATGCATTAGAATAGAAGTATTGCTTCTGGAGGTACCTCACTCCCTCTATCCAATATCACAGGGAAACCATATTTTATACACGTGGTTGTGTAAAATGATCTGCACATGTATAATCTCATATGTAGAATATGGGAAATACTAATAAGCTCAGAGAAACATTTACTTGCTCCCAAACAATGTGATTTCACTAGCTAGTTGGAGGTTAGCAATCTAGAATTTTAGAGCAGAACATATCTGAAAAAAAGGAAGCTTACATTCATCAAGGCCTTATAATTAATGCCTGTATTTACAAGTGAAGAAACCCTGGGCTCATACTCTTAAGTTTTAGGAAATGTGGTTGCTCAAATGCCTCACTGCATAGTTCATGAATTGTAGGTTTCTTTTCAATAGTAATGTCATGTTTATGTACCTAGGTGAACATGGTGAAGACCAGCCATAGAAGAACACTATAGAAACTTTCTATAGAAACACAATCAGAAACACTATAATCTTTTTAACAATGAGCTAAAAAGAGAAATATCACTACATGTGCTATATAACTGCACTTGAGAGTAATTACTACAGTTACTGAGGCAATTTTAAGTACATCATTTAATTTCAAGAATGAAATGCTCATGTAACAGCACATAAAAAAATAACACTTGAATTTACAGAACACCATTAAATTGATTACACTCACTTATGCAAATATCTAAACTCTTTCTCACCCAATTAGCTCAAAACAGAACTTACCTCATTAAGATAAACTTAAGCTATGGTCAAATAAACACAGCAACCACTTTGCATTTTACAGTAATTATTTCAGGAAGCCCAGCCTCTTTCAACAGAAGCAACATTGATGAAAAAAATATACATATGTTAATCAAAAATACAAATTGATGCTTGAAATTGAAGTTATAAGAACATCCAAATTAACTTAAAAAAAAAAAAAAAAAAAAGCGCAGAAGGAAAAATAGAGCTTGATAGGAATTTTAAACATGAAAATGCTTGGGTGCACAAAAAGTAACACAAAATTAAACCAGAAGAAAATAATGCCTCTTTCAAGTTTTCCAATCAGCTCTAATTATCAACAATAATGAATAACTTTTCATGGACAGAAAATTAAGATTGGCCTTGTTGATGGGAATTCGAAATGTCAGTATCTGGCATCTGCAGCATGCCCAATTCTGAATCAGACTCAGCACTAGTCGAGAGGACTCATATAAGCCTGCTTGCTCTGGAGTTCACTTCTTCACTACGACTGAGCAAACAAACTAGCCACAGAGCCTGAGAGACATTCCTTCTCCTTTCAGGAAAAAAAAAACTTGGAGTTTACTTAGCAACAGCTCAGAGACCTTCAGAATATCCCCTGACACCTCTCCTCTTCATGCTGTTTTTATGAACAGCAAGGCAGATAATTTATCCTATTCCATTTTATCTATTTTCTTCACAGTAAAATTGTATGTTCTTCTGACAGTAAGAGAACTAAACAAAAGTATCCATGTTATCAAAATATTCATTAAAAAATAAAAATATAAATAAAAAGAAATATTTCTAAACCTTGAACAAAGTTTTGATTTCTGAACATCAAAGCGAAAAACAAAAAACACATGTTGAGTAACTAAATATTAAGCCTGATTACCAAGGATGATGAATGTAGCCAGGCCTATTACTATTTGCAGTCAAATTTACCCAACCCTTTGTAAAGGCTGTATGTGAGCAGATCTGGGTTTACCCAGAAAATAATTTCTGAGTGCAAATTGTTTTGTCTACAGTTGTAGAACGTCAGCCATCCTGGTACCAAAAAAGGGGTAACAACAGAGGTGTGCTTGGGATCTCTGTGTTCTTGGATCAGAAAATATTTGTTTTAATGTCACTGCTGTTGACATGGGAGGTAGTGAGATTAAAGTAATGCATGCCAGTGTATAGGGCAGTCATATTCATCTCCTGTGTGGATTCTAATGCAGGTGGTTTAAGTGATTCATAATGTTAGGGGATTCCTGTAGTCACATATAAGCAATACAACAGGAAGAATTTAGATAGCAAAATATGCATAACCTGAAGTGTGTTAGAAAAATATTGTAGAACT